GCTAATTATTCATTTTGTAGATGAGAAACCAAGGTACAGAGAAGGGAATTAAGTTGCCCAAGGTTCTAAAACTGGTGAATGACAACCGAAAATCAAACCTGCGACTCCGGAGACAAGGGCCAAGCCGCCCCCGTTTAAATTCCAGGTACTATTTGACACAACTCAGACCAAGCAAACTAAAATGTTCAGAGTAAGGAATTGCTAGAAAGACAATTTGACTTGCCCAGAATCTGTAAGAACGCTGGCTCCCGGGACAGTCTTACAGGTCTAATTATGACGAATTTGGCATTTTCTTAGGTAAAAAGGCCCTATCGGCAGATTGTGGAGCTTGACACCCTGTTCCAGAAGCTAAACTGTAAAGGTGGAGGCCAAAATTCGGCGCCTACAGACCGACAGCAGCCCGTTTATCACGTTTCCTCTCATCAACTTTTCAGTCCTCCCCGCTTCCCCGTTCGCTCAGCCGGTGCCCATCCCAGAGCTCCTTCCCGCCTCGGACCCGAACTGGTCTCACTGCATGATCTCCTCGCTGACATCCAGGCTGAAAGTTTTCCGCAACTGCAGGGTGCACCAGTGCACCAGCGACTCCCGGAACGCCGCCCCAGCCACCGCCATCTTCCCCAGCCGGAACCAGCCGGGATGCAAAAGCCCCACGTCCTGCGCCGGACTAGTTCCCTTAGCAACACCGAGCTCGCTTACTCGGGTTCCGCCAACCTGCGCCGCCCCGCCTGCAGTGCAGAGCCCGCCCACCCGTGCCGCCTCTGGCTTCTTCCCGCTTCCTTGTCTGTTTACACTTGTATCCGTGATCCTTCGGCGGGTGATTCTTCGACGTGGTTAGATGTAGAACTTGTGGAAGGCCAAGTACCTGTAAAAACTACGGTTCGGGGGAAAAAACAAAACAAAAAATACCCCCAAACCTGAGGGACCACCTTTAAAATCGCTCTGGTTTTATGTAAAACTCTTAAACCAGCATTTGTTAGCGCTGTAAGTTTTTGCTCTGGTGGTGGTGATTAAATACGCCCTATCGTCGAACACTAGATTCACAGTAAAACCTCTGTTTAATTTTTTTGAATATTCTGGGGTTTTTTGTTTTTTGGTGCTTGGCTGGTACAGGGATCAAACTCTGAACCTTGGTTTTACCAGCACCACCCTCTAACCAACTGACCTAACCAGCCAGCCCTTATTTAATTTTTTGATCCAGGTCTTTTGCAGGATGGCCAAGACAACTCAGCAAGCTCAAGGGGGGATAAAACTTTAATTAGAACAGATGGTGGGACTTGGCTTTGAAGGCCTTCTGTATGAATTCTCAATCCAAGGGAGTAGTGGCCAGTTAGCTCATTTGGTTAGAATGTGTTGCTACTAACACCAAAGTCACGGGTCCGGATCCCCATGCCAGCCAACCAAAAAAAAAAAAAAAAAAAGAGAGTTCTCAGCCCAAGATGACCAGACTTAAGTTTTTTTGCAATTCCTTATTCCACTAGGACAATGGTCTGGGGAAAATTTAGCCAAACTTTTCTGGAGAGCATGTTATGACTCATGGTTGGCTTCTGGTTACCTTTACAGATTAAAATTTCTTCATTTCCATTAGGCTATTTAGACTAAGTGGTTATACTGGATGCTGTTTCACCTTTTTATACTAATGTTTCAATTGCACAAATAATCAAAATGACATAAGTGTATTGATTTGCAATGAATGTACATTGTCTTGGCTGTCATTGATTTGGAAATTGTATGATTTTCCAGCTTTTTTTTTTTTTTTAACAAAGTACTCTGTCAATGCTCATTAATAGTGGGTATAAGTCTTGTTCCTTCTAAAAATTCACTTCAAGGCTCACTGCTACAGTGCGCCGCTTGGGAGCGTGGCAGCGCTCCCGCCAAGGGTTCGGATCCCACATACAGACCGGCGCTCACTGGCTGAGCAAGGTGCGGGCGTGACACCGAGGGTCGCGATCCTGTCGCCGGTCCCGGTCCGGTACGGGCGCAACACTGAGGGTTGCAATCCGTTGCTGGTCACGAAAAAAGACAAAAAGGAAAAAAAAAATACTTATTATAAGGTATCCAAATCATTTGCCTGTTTATCTGTTCAGTCCCTGTATTAGTCAGGGTATGCCAGAGAGACAGAGCCAGTAGTTATACAGATAAAGATATAGATATAAATATGTAGACATAAGAGGATTTATTAGGGGAATTGGCTCAAGGGGTTATGGAGACTGAGAAGTCCCAAGGCAGGCTGTCTGCAAGTTGGAGACCCTAGGATGTCTGTAGCTTGGCTTAGTCCAAGTATGAAAGCCTCAGAAACAGGCACATTGATGGTGTAAATCTCAGTCCCAAGGCCAGAGAGCCTGGAGTTCTGATGTCCAAGGGCAAGAAGAGGAGAGTGTCCCAGTTCTAGCAGAGAGAGAGGAAATCCTTTTCTCTTCTTTTTTGTTTTATATGGGCTCCCAGCCAATTGGGTGGTTCCCCCTAAATTGAGAGATCTTCCCCATTCAGTCCACTGACTCAACAGGTCAATCTCTGGAAACACCCTCACAGACACACTCAAAACTAATGCTCTACCAGTTCTCTAGGTATTCCTTAATCCAGTCAAGTTGACACCTAAAATTAACCATCGCAGTCCCCATAATTAAAATTTCAACTTCCTTAAGATAGAGATTATGACTTAAATCTTTTCATACAATAGATAATAGTACATCATACATATTATGATGAAATGATTAGGTCCTGAAGAATAACATAAATATTCTTTTTTTTACAAGGCATATGTTAATGATTGTAATCTCAAAAAAAAAAGATTGTAATCTCTAGTTTGTAATGTATATAATGTAATGCCATTTACAATCATTATCATTTAATAAATTATATTTTTTCCTGAGCAAAGCAAGCACACCCTTTAACATGACTTAAAGATATTCTTTGGTATAAATTTAGGCAAAAATTTAATTCATACATACTATAACTTTTCTTAACACCCTAGGCTTTTTGAAATTTTCAGGTTCATACCACATAACTCGCTGTTTTATTTAATTGTAACGGAGAGGGGCTTATGAAAAGTAACACTTCAATTAAGAATTTTTGGCTGGCCCGGTGGCGCACTGCTACAGTGCGCCGCTTGGGAGCGCAGTGGCGCTCCCGCCGAGGGTTCGGATCCCACATACAGACCGGCGGCTCACTGGCTGAGCGAGGTGCAGGCCCAACATCAAGGGTTGCGATCCCGTTGCCGGTCCTGGTCCGGTACGGGCGCGACACTGAGGGTTGCGATC